TGGCGCTCTACTTTACTGCAACATTCCTCAACAATACTTTCTACTACATTTTGCTTATTTAATATATGGGCGGTTATAGTTTTTAGATGAAATAATTCGAAAATATTATATCTTAGGCTTGCAGAAATGCTCAGCAAATTTCGCATCGAATTCAGCGAAGTGTGCGTTTTGCCCAATTTGAATACACCGCCAGATTCATCAGTGCAGGAAGAATTCACTAAATTTATCGAGAAGTTTCTAGTTCCAACTGTGTCTACCATGGATCCTAGTGAACCTGCCTTTTCAGTGTATACTGACGAGACAGAGTTAACTAACATGAAACAACGGGTAAAGTTTCATGTAATCTTACTATCGTCTAACTTTTAAAAATTTTTCAGACTTTACGATACCTAAGAATCCGACATTTGCTGCTGGACAAGTCAAAAACCGCAAACCTCATCGTGCTCACGTTTCCTATTCCAAGGAAACGAGGAATATCGGCGAGTCTGTACCTCACATGGTTAGAAATGCTAACAAAAGACTTGCCACCTATACTTCTCGTACGCGGTAACCAGAAGGCTGTTCTGACATTTTACAGCTGATTTGTATTTTGAATTTTTGATTATGTCAAGTATATATCGAGAAGAAACTCACCAGCAAATTTCATTATCAGTTCCTTTCATACAAACTGATGATACGAACGTGCCATGAGTGTCTGTGAAACGTTTATACAAGTCTTTCAGACATTTTGTAAATTTCAGTGCCATGTCGAATCCTGCAAATTTGATTTTTTTCTTTCCATTTTTAGGCAACAGCGTTTTAGGGAAGCAGTGTTGCGTTACAGCGCAAAGTAAAATTTTTTTGTGTAACCCAGCCCAGTAACGAAAAGCAAGCAGTTGACCTTGGTGATTTGGTGTGGTCATTAAGGAGAGTTTGTGGCTGTAATTGGTCTCGACACGCAAAATTACTCATCAAAATTCAGTGTAAGAATTTATTATTTGGATTTAAAAAATTAATAATTTTAATAATAACATTAAAATCTGGATTTAAAATTAATACATTTGCTCATGTAATTACGCTGTAGTAACGACGGGCGAGAAAGACTCTATCCAGTAACAAAGTACCTGCCGATCTTAACGCAATCTGTACTGTAGGACAACCTAAAAGAATCAGAAAGTCTAGCAAGCAGAGCATTTCTCAAAAGATGCCAAATGATTTGTTTCCGTTCATTTCACGATTAAACGTCTTCTGATATCCAACATA